CGGCACAAGTAAAATCGCAATTTTACCTCAGTTTTTGACGATCGACCCTCATTTCGTGCGAAAGGGTTGCTCCGGCACAAGTAAATTCGCAATTTTTCCTCAGTTTTTGACGATCGACCCTCATTTCGTGCGAAAGGGTTGCTCCGGCACAAGTAAAATCGCAATTTTTCCTCAGTTTTTGACGATCGACCCTCATTTCGTGCGAAAGGGTTGCTCCAGGACAATTAAACTCGCAATTTTTCCTCAGTTTTTGACGATCGACCCTCATTTCGTGCGAAGGGTTGCTCGGGGACAAGTAAACTCGCAATTTTTCCTCAGTTTTTGACGATCGACCCTCATTTCGTGCGAAAGGGTTGCTCCAGGACAAGTAAACTCGCAATTTTTCCTCAGTTTTTGACGATCGACCCTCATTTCGTGCGAAAGGGTTGCTTTAGCACAAGTAAAATCGCAATTTTACCTCAGTTTTTGACGATCGACCCTCATGTCGTGCGAAACGCGTGACGTTTCGTTGACTCGCCGCCTGGCCACCACCCTCGGCCTTAAGAGGAGAAAGATACCGCAGGCGAGAGAGAGAAGGAGAGAAGAAAGGATTGAGAAGATGTGCAGATGAGCAGATGTGAGAGAAGGTGTGAGAGAAGATGTGAAGAGGACAGATGTGAGTGAGAAGATGTGAGGCAGCTGTTGAAGATGAGCAGATTTGAGAGAAAGATGTAGAGAGATGTGAAGATGAGCAGATGGAGAGCAGATGTGAGAGAAGATGTGAGAGAAGATGTGAAGATGAGCAGATGTGAGAGAAGATGTGAGAGAAGATGTGAGAGAAGATGTGAAGATGAGCAGATGTGAGAGAAGATGTGAGAGAAGATGTGAGAGAAGATGTGAGAGAAAATGTGAGAGAAGATGTGAGAGAAGATGTGAGAGAAAATGTGAGAGAAGATGTGAGAGAAGATGTGAGAGAAAATGTGAGAGAAGATGTGAGAGAAGATGTGAAGATGAGCAGATGTGAGAGAAGATGTGAGAGAAGATGTGAAGATGAGCAGATGTGAGAGAAGATGTGAGAGAAGATGTGAAGATGAACAGATGTGAAGATGAGCAGATGTGAGAGAAGATGTGAGAGAAGATGTGAAGATGAGCAGATGTGAGAGAAGATTTGAAGATGAGCAGATGTGAGAGAAGATGTGAGAGAAGATGTGAAGATGAGCAGATGTGAGAGAAGATGTGAAGATGAGAAGATGTTTTACAGACCCCCACTATTGGAAGAACCCTGCGCTCAGACGCTCTCGGGAAAAATGGGATACATGATATCTAAAGCATGACAAAGCCCCATTTGAGAGCTGACAAATGCAAACAACTCCAGTTTCTTTCAGTCTCTATGTCTCTTCCCCCCCTCTCTCTCTCTCTGTCTGCAACTTCACCATTGCCATTTCTGCTGTCATTGTTGTCTCATGTTGTCTCTATATGTCTCTATGTGTTCTCCTTTGTTTTTTTGGCCGCTCGAAGCTCTGGACTTAGGCAACAAATAAGGGCATGACGTAGGCCTTTGGTGTTTGGCACCCATTCCAGTAGGCCACACTTCTCCGAAATGATGACGACCTAGAAGCTTTTCACTGAAAAAGAAAGCCATTCTTGTGATACTGAGATACGCTGAGATTTTATGCACTTCGTCTTCTTTGTGGGAAAAACAGAGCAATAGTGAAACAAACCTTGAGTGAATAGCGCCGCCTGAATCGGCGTAGCTGTCTGACACTATCATACAATGTCTGTTCACGGGTATGCCTTTCAACCAGAAATGAGAATACTGATTTGTTGCGAGTGAGGCCAGCACATGGAATGTTCGAACAGCCAAGTTCCTGCGATTTGCATCCTTAGAATTCAATGTCCAGTCTCGAGCGAAGGCATAATCAACACAAGGGCACAAGACTAGCTGGCGACACAAGACTAGCTGGCGAGAACAGCGCTCTTTTACCTGCAGGTCAGTATCAGGGCTCTTTGCCAAGAGTTGATTGACCATTGCCGCAAACTCCATCAAGCGTGAATCCTGCCAAAGTTCACAGCAATGGCACTGAGAGAATCGGTTAACCAACTACCCACTGGCCACAAGCTTCCATCAGCACTGCTAGTACCTCCTGGGAGGGGGGATGAAAGTTGATGAATTTGGACCAGGTGTCCAATATGTCCTTGCGCAAATCTCCCCGCTTCTCTGCTTTGCAAAGGAAAGGATATTGCCGACCATCGGAGCCCAAGAAGATGACTTTCTTGGGTTTTTCCTGTAGCGCTAGCAATACACAAACTTTCTGGAGACAAGAAAGAGCCTCTTCTGAAATGAAGTCGGCGGGAACACAAAACATCACAAAACAATAACATTGAAATACATTTCACTCAATCCTCGCTTGTCTCGACGGCAATCCCAAAACAAACCCTTCAACATTTCTGGCCAGCTCCAATGCCCGAGTAGTAAACTTTTGAGCAATCAGGCCTTTGATCTGAAAACCTCCACCTGCTCCAAACACCTGTCCGGCAAATGCATGGCTTGCAGCAGTTTACGCAGTTACTTAGAAGCGCGCGATTTGAACAAAAAAATACCTATCCAGCAATCATGATCCAGCAACCAGCAATCCAGCCTAGTGGACAAAATTACATCTGGGAAGAAATGGTTGCCGTTTGCATCCCGTAGCGCAGAGCCATCAAGCCTGCTTCGCCAAGGCAAATCAAACTTTTTTTGGCACCTTGTGATCTGTATTTTTCCCAAACGATACAAAACCATCATTGAATCAAGAGTCACACATCCCCTTGTGAGACATTGGAGAAATCATCTGTTTGAGATTCGAAACGTTGCAAGCTGCCTTTCGAAAGATAAACGGTCAGATATGTTTCTTTCCTTTTAGCAATTGCACCCTTTGGTCTCCTTTCAACGGACTGAAGCAGAATGGTGACTCTAGGTGCTACTGATATTTCGCTGATGATACGATGGGTAATCGGCCCATGATCCAAATATGTTAAATACATATAATATGTATATATATATAGGTATAAATAAACATATTATACAGATGTGTATATATATATATAATTATATATACATATACAAATGTATATGTATATATATATAATTAATGTATGTATGTATGTCTGTATGTATGTATGTATGTATGTATGTATATCTTTGTATGTATATCTTTGTATGTATATCTTTGTATGTATATCTTTGTATGTATATCTTTGTAAATATATCTTTGTATATATATCTTTGTATATATATCTTTGTATATATATATATCTTTGTATATATATCTTTGTATATATATCTTTGTTTATATATCTTTGTATATATATATATATTTGTATATATATATATTTGTATATATATATATTTGTATATATATACACATACCTATATATGCATACATACATATATATATATATACACATGTTAATAACACTTGTTATACTATATCATATCAAAATATATTACTAGTACATTGTATTATAATATATTATAGTATATTATGTTATACCGTATTACACTATTGTACATTGTAGTGTCTGATATGATCAAATAAGTGAAGATTAAATTAAACTACATTAAACAATATTCTAATATATCATATAACAATAATGCGTATATATATATATGATATACATATTACCAGAGAATATAGAATATTGAAGTTTATAATACATTATACTATTTTTTGTATAAACTAATATCAATTTATATTACATAAAATTATACAAAATATCATATGAAGTGATATATTACATTATATTCTATTATATTATGTTATATGACAGTATAGTATATTGTAGAATCTTAAAATATCTTATAATATATGATCAACACTTCTAGATACTTCTAGTGTATCATGTTATATGATGTTATAATATGACATTACATGACATTTTATTTTGTTTCTATGTCTATTCTATTATTTTACTGTATATTATATGATAAATTATCTTGTATTGTCTTACGGTATAATATTAAATCATATGCTATTCTATTCCATTCCATTCTATTCCATTATATATATTGTATTATATTATATTATATTAAATTAAATTATATATTATATTATATTATATTATATTATGGTCAGTGCCGGAATTATAGAACGGAAGTTGAGGAGGACGAAGGTACGGTTATTTACCGTACCCTGTTGTTCTATAATTCTGTTTTCCTCGGAAGGTATGAAAAAAAAATGTATCTGATCTTCCTCCTAATTTTTTTCGTCGTTCTATAATTCTTGTCGGAGCGCTGTTGTTCTATAATTCTGTTTTCCCCCATTTTTCTCACATTTCCCATTTTCGTTCTATAACTAATTTTCCCCGGGCCCCGTTCTATAATTAATTTTTCCGTCGAACGGAAAAATTAATTATAGAACGGAAAAATCAATTATAGAATTATAGAACCTCTTCCGGGGTCCCAGAAATCCTATAAAATCACCATGAAATCTAAGAAAATCACCGTGAAATCCCATAAAATTACCATGAAATCCCATAAAATTACCATGAAATCTTATAAAATCACCATGAAATCTAAGAAAATCACCTGGTAAATGTGGGAAAAATGGGGGAAAACAAAATTATAGAACGGAAGTTGAGGAGTACGAAGGTACGGTTATTTACCGTACCCTGTTGTTCTATAATTCTGTTTTCCTCGGAAGGTAGAAAAAAAACGTATCTGAATTTTCTCCTAGCTTTTCTCGTCGTTCTATAATTCTTGTCGGAGCGCTATTGTTCTATAATTCTGTTTTCCCCCATTTTTCCCACATTTCCCATTATCCTCATGTTACAGCATTCTCATTTTATCCTCGTTATCTCATCAAATCCTCATTTTATCATCATTTTATCTTCATTTCCTTATCAAATCCTCATTAAATCCTCATTAAATCTTCATTTTATCCTCATTTCCTCATCAAATCCCCATTAAATCCTCATTTTATCCTCATTTTATCCTCGTTTCCTCATCAAATCTTCATTTCATCTGCATTTTATCTTCACCTCATCAAATCCTCATTAAATCCTCATTAAATCTTCATTTTATAGATTGTATATGTACAAATATGCAGTAAATATCATGTCAGTGCCAGAAATTATAGAACGGAGCCAGGAGGACAAAAGTACGGAAAAATACCGTACCTTTGTCCTCCTCCCCGTTCTATAATTAAATTTCCCGACTCCGCTCCGAATCGGAACCCGGAGGAGGACAAAGGTACGGTATTTTACCGTACTTTTGTCCTCCTGGCTCCGTTCTATAATTCTGGCACTGACTGTATATTATATTATATATTATATTATATTATATATTATATTATATTATATTAAATTATATTAAATTATATATTATATTATATTATGTTATATTATATTATATTATATATTATATTATATATTATATTATATTATATTATATATTATATTATATTATATTATATTAAATTAAATTATATTATATTATATATTATTATATTATATTATATTAAATTATATTATATTATATATTATTATATTATATTATATTATATTAAATTATATTATATTATATATTATTATATTATATCATATATTATTTTATTTTATATTCATCACCCATTCCACTGCGAGAAGTTCCTTGGAATCGTGGCTGTCATCTGGCTCTGCAGCGGCACCAAAACTTGCCATTTTTCTGCCCTGTTGCGCACAAGTCGCAGGGCAAATCATTCGGCAAATAGATGATAAGACAGGACTCTCCACTTCCTTCTCTTCTCCATGTGTAAGCATTTTGGACAACCCACCGCCCTGCATAAGGTGGGCAACTCTAGTTCTAAGAAATTCTCACTTTCAGACATGGTGGTTCAGTGTTATTCTCTCTCGCTCGATCCATCTCTCTCTCTCTCTCTCTGTTTTCCTGTGTTTCTGCATGTCTTTGTGACATTTTGCTTTGCACTGCAACTCTGAAGTCTTTGCCGGTTGATGCCGGTTGTGTAAGTTGCGGGCTGTGTTCCATTGCCAACGAGGCGAGGGAAGTCCCTTGCAAAGTGTATGGAGATGGATTCGCCCGTCGTGCTTGCCAGCTTTCCAAAGTCCTGTGCAGCCACATTTCATGAACACCATGACGCAAAGGTGCACGGCGCTTTTCATGACTTGAAGCAACGGCCCGTCGCACATTTTGATGGAGCTTTTCTGCTTTCTGTTGAAGGGATATTGGCCCTTATGTCTGCGCTCTTGAAGAGGATCTCAGTCTGTCAGAGCTCTTATGTGCTGCTGGCTCACTGGCTTGAATAAACTCTTCCAAAGTCCAAAATCAATTCATGGTCTGGATGCGCTTTCGCCCAACTACCGGAAGGAATCATTCGCATGCTTGTGGGAGGCTGGCTGTCCCGATTCAATAGAACTACGTAGCTTAATATGGCTTCGAAGAAGGGTGGACTGGACTGACATGGGGAGATCAGTTTTGTCGGATCTAGAAGAGGGAACATTTGATCTTTGTGGTTTGGCGTCTGAAGTAGTACTGTCGGTTTCGTGCATTTTAAATTTCAAGAGCAGTGCGGCGTCATCCAATGGTTGCGTTCAAGCATGGAAATCCAAGCAAATCCAGGCAAGTTCTAGAAAGCAATGCTCTGCATGTCCTACTGCGCGTCCTCTGCAATCTTCCGTCTTGTCGTGAGCAAGATGTGAAGGTCATGTTTCTGCCTGCAGGTCCAACTTCCGGACATGCGATACTCCGGATACTCCGATGCAGATTGGATGCGATGGTGATACTCCAATCTCATCACCGAGGTCTCGATGTTCAACATCGTTCATAGCGTGCTGAGACTTGGCAAAGCTGAAATTACCGCCAGAAAAAACAACATCAAGGGAAGCTCATTTCATCACATACTTTCAAATGTATAATACATACAATTACATACTGCACAGTATAAAATATTTGTTGATTTGACATATCATTGAGTCAACTCATCATAAAATAGCAAATCAGCACATTATGATCATGAGATCTCATTGGATGTAGATCCTTGTAGATCAACACATTCCCTGAAAGTGAATCTGGACACACCACTGGCGCTTACTCCACGCACTCCATGGAGCCTCCCAACGTCGCTCACAATATCTTGGCCCAGCTCTCTATGACTCCGATCATCCTGCAATCTTGACATATCTTCACTTGTAAAGAGCAAGTGCGCCAAGCGAAAGCAGGTCAGGCATAAGTTGAGATTTCATTCATTAGATGGCCGAAACATGCCAAAACATGATTTTTGCTTTCCAAGATTGATCAATTGATCCTTTTCAAAAGTCATGTTGAATATCTTTGTCTGCACTTCGTATGTATCTGGTACGTCAAATGATCGCAGTACGTTCCGAAAAGTCTCTGAAATTCATCCGGTCTGGTGCCAGTGAAAGCCCGTCCGGATTTGTGGAATTCAGGAGCTGCACCAGGTGCCAGGCTGCTTGCTGAGGATATTCTTTGGTCACATTCTTGATGATGTCCTCAGCTTTTGGATGGCCTTTGGCCACTTTCCGTCCCTTTCTTGATCAATTGCTTAATTTCGGGTCAAATTGATCAGATTTCCGGGTCAAATCGTCCGTCCACAATTCTTCTTGTCTGGTCATTGAAATTCCTAAGCCCAGGAATGAAGCAGCTGCCTCCAGAACTTGCTCACTTTAAGTGGGTCTTGCTAAAGTCTTGTCTGGCACGCCACCAAAAACAAACACTCCAAAAAGATGTAAGCCATGCAAGCAAAGCATCAGTGAATGTCTTCCTTAGAGGCCGCCCGACTTTCCCTTCGCATCCTTCTTGAGGTGATAGGGTTTCAACATGTTTCAACTTCATTATTCTCCCCGTGTAGAAGTGACAATCCCACCAACACAGGGCAAACAATTGGGTGGATCCGAGGAATCTCCTGTTTGCCCGAATCTAATCCCCTTGTGACATGAAAAGCACCAAAAACATGCGGAGTTGAAGCCGCCCCAAAATGAGGTTTGCATCTGCTCCTGAACAACCTGCCTGTTTGCAGACCTTGACATGACTCAAAGTGATACTCTGGATGAAAGCAACAGTTGACCGGCTCTTTTAACTGAAGTGGTACTCGGTGCGCTTTGGGAGAAGTTGCACTACTTCCACGGTTGGCTTTCCCTATGCAAACCCATCAATGAACAAACAAATGCAGCAATCGCAAAGATTGCTTTGTAATTAGCAGGCTTGCTAAGCCACTTCAAGTCAGGATGAAGAGCACGACTGATCAGCTGAGAGAGTACAGAGTACCACATCCAAGGTGGTATTTTCGCGGCCTTTCCGATGGCATGACTCACCACGACCCTCTGACCATCAGCTTCTCCAAATATCATGAGCAGCGAGTCAATCAATGAAAGAAAGCAACTGATTTAAGAAACTCATTTCTGCCATGCTCGGGCTGCCATAGCCTCTTGCTGAAACTCTGCAACCATATCTTGCTTTTGAACGTCCACCTGCCAAGGAACAGAAGTCATGATGAAAAATGATGAAAACTAATATTATAAATATGCAACCTCAGCCCAAGGACAAGCTCGGAACTGCTGTCAAAAAGATTCCATTAATATGGGACATATCACAGGTTCGCAACAACTGAATCCTCTTGCCAGCCTCACAGCATTCCCATGCCAGCTGCAAGAGACGATTCAAAATGAAGTGAAGTCCTAAGAAATACGCAGAGACATCATGCCACTTTACGAGCAAACACAAAACGGCACGGCGGAACAAACATGGGAAGAAACACGTTCAAACTGCATGTTGAGTGCCTCTTTCTATCATTGCCATCCCAGCGCAGTGCACAAGTGCACATAGTGCACAATCCAGACCAGTCATGACCAGTCAAGAATCGCTTGGTACCCCTCTGCAAGGCTTGTAAATAGCCGCGGAAGGTGAACGTCACCAAATTCTTTCTGTCAAAAGGGGCATGCCTTGGTGCATTTTTCAGTCGTCTGATCTGTCAAAGATGAGGTTCGAGTTTTGGGAAGATATGGGAAGATATGGGAAGATTCAAAGCCTTTGTGCCGCAAGAAGCCTGTTTATTGCTTCCTGAATGATCGCATTCGATGACTGAGCAACAAGGAATGACTTGAGGGCGAACTGAGGATAGGGCGCTGCTGTCCGAAGCTTTTTGACGGCTGGAGCAGATTGTGACATGCCTTGCAAGGCACGGGATCAAATTGCATCCAAGCAATTCTTTCCCGGATTTGCATTGTGTACACAACACATTTGCCGGTCTCGGATTTTTCAAGTTGACCGGTATCACCATTACACTAGGCACACGCACACACACACACACGCACACACACACAGACCATGTATACTATGCGCACCATGAACTTCTGCTGAGAGACTTCGAGCAGCTTCGCTAATCTGACTCTTGAGGAGGTAGTCCAAATAAGATGCATGGTGGAAGAAAGCAGCCTCGCGGCAAACAGAATGGCCCTGAGGATTTGTGATGCGAAATTGTGAGGAACCGGCGCAGCATGGTACAACTCTGTCAAGGTGGTGAAGCTACATGGAAAACTTCGGAAACGTTTCGCAAGCAAAGCTGTCAACGCAGCTTCAAAAATTGGCCTCATTGTTCAGCCTCTCCTTTGCCTGCCCATGGACCAAAAACGGCAAACAAGGTGAAAGAAACTTATCCAGAAAGCCGTGAAAAGAATTATGCTTTTTCCATATCCACCGGCATCTGTGAAATGCAGTGACAAGCCAACAATGAGCAAGATTACAGCAAATGCCAAGACCATCCCAACTATCTCCAAAAACGCAAAATCCGCACGTTTCATCACATTTCTGGATACGAGTAAGTTCAAGATCTGTTCAATGCATGTGCATCTCCGAACTTAAGCCAAGCAAAGAACTCAAAGGTCTTAGGAACTTGAAACCTTGAGTAGAGGCCTGTCCATGATGAGGTCTTGGCGTGACATTGCAATTTTAAAATCAGCTGGCTGGCGCTCCAACCTGTGGCACCTAAATTACTGAACTCCACAAACAAACATCCCCAGCTGATCTAACTGCCTGCAATATCCTGCAATGATGAAGAAAGTGCTGTAGTGCAGGTACTGCAAAGTACGTGAGCCAGCAGTCCGTTTATCAAGGTGATACAGCCATGTCCCCCCGCCATCAGCTGCCCATAAACGCAGCCTCTCTCTTAGGGGGTTCAGAGCCAAAGCCAGTAAGCTCTATCAATTGAAACTTAGAAGAGCCATGAAATCAAAGCCAATAAGATACCAAGAACATCAAAGAACGTATAATAGTGTATGTTGATTATGTTGGGCGGTTGGAGCGAATCTCAAGGACAAGCCGTTCTAAGCCGTTCTGGAAGCTGCCGCAGCTGCCTGTTGAAATTCGGCTTCTGCAACACGAGGAAGCAGCAGCGAAGCATCGGCAGCCCAACGTGCACCCAAGAGCTGCGCGCGAGGACAAGAGCTGGAGAGCTGCAGCCTTGGAACATCTTGGAACATCTTGGAACATCTTGGAACATCTTGGAACATCTTGGAACATCTTGGAACATCTTGGAAAATGCGAAGAATGTAAAGATATGCCAAGCAGCGGCTGCAGCGGCTAGCATTGAAAGTCCAGATTAGCCATACGGGCCATACATGAAGATATGCAAAGTGATGCAGTGTCAATTTCTGTCTATATAATTCTGACGCACGAAATCCGTTCAAATCCATGAAACTCCTTTGAAATCGCACCAAGAAGAAAACTCAGCTGACACAGCTGACGTCTCAACTCGCTTCGAGTGTGAGCAGCTAGCCCCAAGACAAGATAAACAAATTAATTTAGAAACGGTTGCAATGCTCGGCTCAACTCTCTTGGAAGTACAGCTGGCTATCCCGAAATTGTCTTTCATGAGAGGTTAGACCCATTTCATTTCTTAGCCTCACTGAATCATTCAATAATTGTCAATTTGTTTTCTAAGAGTTTCTAAGCAGATATGTATATATATATATATTATTACAATTTAATATATATATATATAATTATATATAAATACTGTATATAAATGTAAATGAGAACACATGAGAACTTCTTGGATCACGTCTGCACAGCACAGGATCCAATGACGGCCCTGCTGATCTGGCACACCAGTGCGAGTGAACCAAGGTTGTGCCAAGCTACATGTGTCGCAGAGCATCGTGCTTGGCACCACTCGCGTACAGGATCCTGGATGCATTGCACAGCAAGATTGCAAAGACATGCAAAGATATGCAAAGATCAAGTACAATGGAGGCATTTGCAAAGAATTCAATGGAGGCCTTACCTTCCTCTCTGAATCCCCTTGCACTAAGCACGGCAGAACTGCTGAATATTGCATAATTTCACGTTGCTGGGAGACCAAATGCACAAGCACCGCGTACAAATAGACATGACATGAAATGACACTGTGCCTAGCAATGAAGTGGGACATCTTCTGTGGAATTTCAATTTCTACGACATTCCACGCTAGGTCTATGCAGTCTATGCAATCGCTGTTGCCTTGAAGTTCCCACTGAGTCACTGAGAGTCCGGCTTACCCCATTCGAGCTGCGCAGACGCGCGGAGTTCATTTGAGGTGCCTTGAAAGCCTTAAAGCCCGCAGAGAATCATGACAAAATGAATCAAAATGATAAAGCACGGCGGATCCCAGGGATCTCAGGTGTTCTGCAGCCCCGCGATGAACGCAACATGAGCCGCAACAACGTCAGTGCAAAAAGTTGAACCCTCATGAACACCGATGACTTGCAACGAGACAGTGCACCTCACATATTTGATAGAACATGTTGGAAACATGAAAATCAAGGCAAAAACAGAAAAAACAGAGCTCCATGTGCTCTCACCAGACCCAAGCTTGGAACTGGTGTCTGGATGTTCCATTGCAACGGGCTCGCCATGTTTCCGACCTCAAGATCAAGGTCGGATTTCAATATCTTCGTGATTATGCGAATCAGCTTTGCTGATTTTCTTCGTGTTCTCAGGCGGGTATTCTACCATCTCACAGTGCACAGCCGACCATCTGACATCAGCTGACACAATAATCCCAGATTGACCCCAAATGACCCAAACACATTCTACGCCTTCGCACAAGCCTGTAATCAGTACTAATCAGTGCTAATCCTGTCAATTTTGGCACTGCACTGGGCTACAAGAGGTGGCCAAGGTGGCCATGCGCACTTGATATCTGGTAAGGGAAGGATGGGGAAGGTGGGATGGGAATATTTGTTGAAGTTGCACAGTTCTACAAACAGGTTGTTGCTGCGCTACGGTGGTCAGGGATGGGCCATGTCGTTACCTTTCGTCAAAATTGCACACGTTAAATCGATCTAAACCAATTACTTGGAAGATAAGATAGCAATCCCAAACAGCCTACTGTCACAGCTCACAATTCTGTTCCTGGCAAAAGCATCTAACTCTGTCGAACGTTGTGGAACTACGAAATCAAACGGACTCAGTATACATCTTTCTCCAAGAGTCAAAGCCGAGAAAATGCCAATTCGACTGCCTTTGCTTCGTCTCGGAGATTCATGTCCTGTGTCAGAACAACACCTGTTTTGCATTGGAAAGACATGGAATCTACATGCCGGTTCTCCATGCTGGTGCTTTGTGATCAATGCTTAGCAGTCTCTACAAGTGCTTGCTGTTCCGTATAGTATAGACACGCACAAGTGCAAGAAGTTTTGCTGGTGTCTACACAATTGTGACATATTGTGACATTATCCAAACTGTCGCTGGCCTGTAGTGCCACTTTTAGTGGCCCAAGCAATGCTTGTCTTGCACCAAAAGACGGCCTGGACATGTCCTTGGCTCCGTTCAATCTCAGACCTTCCTTGCTTTCAAAATCTGTCATATGCTTTCGTGGGATAGTCTCGCCACGCAACTTCTATTGAAGGCATTCTATCTGGGTTATACCCAATGTCAATTTGAGGGTAAGTAGCACCTTGGATTGCACAAATGCCTGAGCAATACCAATTCTCCTTCTGACTTTGCGGCATGCAAAATTCTTCCCAAGTATCCCAGATCCCAGAAACGAAAAGCATGTGCGTATCCATGTGCATCTGTTGCGTGTCTTAACTAAAAGAAAGCCATCTCAGAATTGTCTTGTCATGTCTTGTCGGGTGAATTCACCTTGGAATTTCTTGAAAGCACCCCAAGCCCAGTTTATCCAGCGAGAATGGCTGTACGCTTGGATCTAACCGCCAGTACTGAAGACGTATTCAACATTTATTCAGCCACTATCGTCGATGTTTTCTGACGCCCAAAGAATGATGCAAAGTCACAGTCTTTCATATGCCTCACTGCTTCAAACATCATATCTGTTCTGCTGTTTCTTGGACCCGCACACATCGTGTGAGGAGGTTTTGAGCAATGCCAGGCTCCTCACAGGTGCTGAACTGGATTTGAAACTGCATATAACATATTTCTTTGAAGCTCCTGTCTTGACATCTTGCGACCTGTTTCATTACAGCAGTACCATGGACTGACTATCTTCGATGTGCTTTGGCACGGCTGTCCCTCCTTCCACAACAAAACACTGCTCGAGTGATGCACACTGAATGCACACAGGTCATCACAGGTCCTGTTGCTTCTGTGTCAACCAATGCAAATCAGAGAGCAAATGAAGGCCTCGCACTCTTTTGGTTCGGAAAATTTCAGGCGCATTCTTCTTGTTAAAAGCACTTGTCCAAGAGAATCTGTATGAGCCGCTCTGAGGATACAAGCAAAGAATTTTGTATTCCATACATCCTCTAGCTGCTTATTTTGTTGAACTCTGAGGGAGTGTGCGCAGGAGGTGCTGGTAGGCCCTCGTGTACGAATCTTGTGCTGCTAGTGAGGCAGCATGGGCGACCTGACAGTGTTCCAAATCGTCCGAGGGTCTAAGCATTGAACAACAACAACAACAACGACAACGACAACGACAACGACAACGACAACGACAACAACAGCAACAACAACAACAACAACAACAACCACAACCACAACCACAACCAACAACCAACAACCAACTACCAACCAACTACCAACAACTACCACAACTACCACAACTACCACAACCACCACAACCACCACAACCACCACAACCAACAACTACCACAACCAACAACTACCACAACCAACAACTACCACAACCAACAACTACCACAACCAACAACTACCACAACCAACAACTACCACAACCAACAACTACCACAACCAACAACTACCACAACCAACAACCAACAATCACAACCAACAATCACAACCAACAATCACAACCAACAACCAACAATCACAACCAACAATCACAACCAACAATCACAACCAACAATCACAACCAACAATCACAACCAACAATCACAACCAACAATCACAACCAACAATCACAACCAACAATCACAACCAACAATCACAACCAACAATCACAACCAACAACAACAACAACAACAACAACACCAACACCAACATCAACATCAACATCAACAAAACTACAAAACCAGAAGTTCGCAAGACTCTTTTTCGAATGTCATTTATTAAAATTTAAAGCTGATGAAACGTGAAGGAGACGCCCCACCTCGACAGTTGTTTCTTGGAGACGTTGTTGGAGTTTCACTTCATTGCGCTCGTGAAGTTGCAGCAAGATGTCACCCAACTGAACCTCACCAAGCAAATAAGCAAAGCAGAAGCAAACCAAAGACAATGCGAACCTGTGATGTCCGTGAAGACCAGCTTGCTTGACTTCGAAAACTCTAGCATATCGTACAAGCGCAACGAACTTATTTGAGTGGGTTCTAACTTGTCAAATAAGATGAAGGGAGCACGCCTCTCGAACTAATGTGGCAGGAAGATTAAACAGAAATAGATTTGCCACATTTATCCCAAACTTCCCCAAGCCAGCTTAGACTGGATGGAACTGAGCACCCAAATCTTGGCTCGGATCAGAGAAGGAGCGTCTTCATGGAGGCAGAAGCTTGACGGAAGACGCAAGAGAATTCCATTACATCATATTACAATATATTGCACCAATTACATCCTGAACATTCCTGAACTTTGAGCTTAAGCGTGCTTAAGCAGTTTGGACCCCTGTCTTTCGAATCTGTGGCCTGAAAGTCCTTCGTGTCAATCTGATCCTGGGCCTGAAAGTTCACTAGGATTCTCGCTGGAGCTCTTCACAAGCCATTGAGTCTTTGCATGTCGTTTCTTTCTCTGACAAAGCTGCACTGCAACAGCAGGGGGCAAACATAGCCTGAAGTGCTTCTGTCAATCGATCCCAACTGCTCAGTTGCCAAGCTGCCTCCAGTGAATTCAAAAGGATATGTGTCTCCAAGACTGGCCTTTCGATTGAACATATCTTACCATGTGGAGACCCTGACAGAACAAATTGAATTGTCCACTAAACACTAATAATAATAATAACAATAAATAAA